AACAACAACAACAACAACAACAACAACACACAATCATTAACTGAGCTTGTACTGTACTCTGTGGAATTTTGATTTGCTATAGAAAATGTCTTTCCAGTGAGAATTAAAAAGAGAATAACCAACTCACATGGGAGATTGTGGTATGTTGAGAAAATTCTTACACTAAATTTGAGAAACGATTGAAGAAGAATTAGATACTGAAAGAAAAGAGGAAGGAAGAGCAGCAGCTATAATAAGCATATGGGTAAGGAAGCCTGGAACCTAGAACTGAAACTCTGGCCTTATCCTGGGCTGGACTGGATGGACTTGATCCTCCAACCTTTTGGTAGCAGCTGAGCACATTAACCACTTGCACCACCAGCAAATAGGGTCAAATAAAATTGACCTAGTGACTATGGTGAAAATATTAGTAATAAATTTAGTGAACATGAATCCAAAAGAATATTTTATTGGACTTGGGCACTAGGGGGAAGAGAGCAATATGAATTAGTTTTGAAAAACATTTTAACATTGAAAAATAGTAGAACCATCAAGTCATAGGTGAAGTTGGTCATTAATGACAATTTAGAATTATTTTAAAATGAGATTAAAGAGATGGATGATACAATTTTAGAGTGTAATAATATACTTTTTTAAAAAAGTGATGTATGGTTGGTTTTTGAATAGAAATAGAAAAATGTGAAGTATAAAACTAAATTGGGAAGAAATGCTTTAATTAAACTTCCCTGACATTACTGGAATGGAGGATGCAATTTACATGATATAAATTATTAGCTGTCATATTCCAGGGAGTTCTGGAGAGGCAGTTTAAGATAGGTGTTACAAGTTTGGGCTCTCTGATCAGGTTTTTGGATTACAGTCCTGGCTCTGCATTTAGTAGCTATGTGAACTTAGGCTTGTTATTTAAGGTATGTATAAATGGTTTTCTTAATGATCAATGGGAAAAAAAAAATGCTTCAAAGGTTTGTTAAAATAATCCATATAAAATAACATCCAGTATATCTGTGGTGGTTAAGTTTATGTGTCAACTTGGCTAGGCCTGGTTGAGTGGTTGCGCAGCTGAATATAATATTCCCCATGATGAGACTGGTAATCAGCTCCATGGTGGAATCTGCTGGGAGTAGCTGTAGCTACCTTTGGGTATGTGGTCTGCTTCCCGTATGTAAGAAACAGTTTTGAGAATGGTCTCTAACTTAATGGCACACTTGAACCCTGCATGCAACCTTGTTGCTCAGCAGCCTGCCATGCTCTGCTGACCCTGAGACTTTCAATGGACTTGAATTAATGGCCTGCCATGTGGTTTGGTAACCCTGGGAGTGTGCCATTTTATTTGTTGATCTTGGACTTGTCAGCCTCAGCAGCCCATAGCTGCCAGAGTGAAGAGATGCCTCTAGCTTCAGTGGTTGGGAGCAAGAGGCAGAGCTGAAGCCTATGGTCCAGGGGCTTTCACAAACCCCAGAGCCTGGCACTTTGAACTCGAACTTCTAGCCTTCTGAACTGTAAGAGAATAAACTCCTGTTTGTTCAAGCCATCCCATTTGTGATATATTCTTGTCAGAGTGGCACTAGGTAACCAGAACAAAGCTTATTAATATTATCTAATTATTAATATTAACATCAATATTTATTATGAGAAAATAATGTTTTATTATCAATAATAATATTGGTATGTTATTCAGTATTATCCTATTAAGGTCAAATATATTAATGTTATCAAGAAATATGTGCAAATTTTTAGAAATTTATAATATGTAAGAGATTATTTCTTGATCTATTGTGAAGACATGCATTTGCTTGTGTGTTCTTTTTCATTCATATTTCATCAGTTTCTACTTTGGAAAATAAATATTATATTTTTCTGTAGTAGTCTCTAAAAAGTTGCATTCTCTCTTCTGTATCTAAAGGAATTGTTTAGCTAGTTGACGATCTCATAAGAACTGAGAGAAAAAAGAAAAAAAAACAACAAAATTACTGTTACTTAGTTTTTTAAATGTTTAAGGCAATATTTTATAGTATTCTATGTTTAGTTTTAATAGATACTTTCCATAAAAACTGTGATTAATACACAAAATTATTGGAAAATTAAATAATGTGGCAATAGCAAAATGTGAAAAACACCTAATAGCGATATATTTAACAGTCTTAATTTACCTTTTCACTTTAGATACAGATTTACTTAAAGATTTCTCTCAAGGAGGAACATCAGAAGATAAAATTCATGTTCTTGCTCAGCAGCAATATGAGCAGCTAACGCATGCAATGAAATGTAAGTTTATCATCAACACGTCTTGTTAAAATGCACTGCAAATCTTAGAAACATTAATATTTATTTATCTCTTACAATCAGGCAATGACTAATGAACCTGAAGTGAATTTTCCAGAATACTCAGTCTTAACATCTTCAAATAAAAAAAATATTTTCACCAATTTAATCTAAGTTTTTTAAAAATTATGTTTTATTATCATTTTAAACGTAAGTTAGCAAAAATAACAATAATTTCTTAATAACATATATGATTGTGTAGTTCTTT